GCATGGCTGTGAAATTTTGACCTTTACGTGATGTGTGCGATGATGGCTGCAGATATGGCAGCTGTGGATGGTGTGAGAAAAGTGCTCATTTTCTGGTTTTGTTTGATGTAACATGCATGAGGCTTGCAGTGCTATATGACAAAACATGAGTGCAACCCTTGGCATTTTGAACTTGGATGGTGAGTGGTTTTCCCCTTCGCAGGTATAGATTTGGTCGGAGAATCTGACGGTACTGTTCCGATACAACCAGCAGGCATCTCCTCACAAGACTTGAAACACACATTCTGGTTTGTAGTACTTCGTAACACTTTTGGCATGCCAGGACTGGATGATCAGGATGAAAATGTGGACTTTGAAACGCAACTGTTGGAAGAACTGCTAGAACATTTTGAAACTGGAGCACGGGCCTCATTTGATCAAACAACACCATATATGTGTAGATTTGCATGCATCCATTCCAAGGCTGACAGTGCCCGGTCATGTGTTTCCGCCTGTCGGATCACCAGCCGCTTGCGGTTACCAAGTGGGTGCCAGAGACTGAGACAGTGTGCTCCCAGTGATGTGTCACGGGTCATGCATGTAAACTAGTCTCAGGTCAGTCCAATGTCTTGATGCGAATTGCATCCTGGGACCAGCCGGCACACTGGAGTCGAAATCTCCATGCTTTGATCTCCCGATGGAACCTTTCCATACCAGTGTCTGTGAGCAGTGTTTGCTGCCCTTGCTTGTTTAGAAACAAAATATCGAATGTTCCATGGCCAGTGCTCAAACTTCGGGATTGGCTTGAGATCATTTTCCGGAAGACTGAGGGTGCGTTGATCATGAACGGATTTGGAATAGACAATCCAAAGCATGAGCATGAGCTGAGTGCTTTTTGGCAGCTCTATGAAAATGTGCTGCCTTCCCATGAAGTGTTCAAAACACATCGTGGCCGACTCAGCAAAGTCATCCCAATGTACTACCATGGAGATGAAGGAAGGGGGAAATTGAGAAGACCTGTTCTAGTGACCTCGTTTGTGGCAGGGTTGCCAGCACCAGGGCATTCCTTTCTTTCCAGATTTTTGGCGGCAATTTTTCCTGGAGAGAGATATGCAGTCGGGTTGGATGGCATGGAATCTTTGGAAGCTTTACACGGAGAGATTGCAGAGGATCTCAAAAGTTTGTTTGAGACTGGCTTCAATGCGCAAGCCTCAATCTTTTTCAATGGTCTAAATGTTCACTCATGTGCTTTCACCCTTTTGATTTGGTAGGTTCTGTTTTTTTTTGTTTGGTCTAGGTGATGAAAAAGGATGGCTCGGTGGAGACAATGTACATTGCCATGATTGGAGTTCGTGGAGATTGGCCCTGGCTTCGTGCTCCAGCTGCATGCGTGAAGTTCAAATTTTAGAAATGCATGCATGCCAGAGTCAGCTTTTCACATGTCTTAGGCAAATGTCATCTACTCTTCACCGGTTTCACATCGAACCGGATCTGCCATCTATGCAGTGGTAAGGCCCAGCTGGAGTGTAGTCTATGTTGAGAACATGTGCTTTGCAACCCTTGTGTGATACAGGAGTGGTGGCGGACTGATGCGAATGCAGAATGGAGAGCTGAGCGTCCGGGACCTGACCCTTTTCGGGCTGTCTCAGCCCTCAGCCAAGTGCCCGGGTGTGGCCCTCTCCAAGCATGTCCTGATCAAGCACACACGTGGCACCTTGGAGTAGGACAAGACCTCTGTGGGTCTCTCGTGGCACCTATGGCTGGCATGTTGGTTGTCGATGTTTTTTTGTCATGCATGAGCACGCTGTGACATGTGCATAATTTACCCACTGTGGTGGTGATGCTAAAACATTTGATGAGGTACTTTTGGCATGTCACCTGAAATGGTGGGGAGGCAACAACATTGAAGAACGATTGGCACGCGCATATGAAAGTTTCAACACATGGCGGCGAGCACGCAGAGTAAACACCAGCGTGGTGAAGTTTGAATTGTCGACATTCAAATGCACGTCGTGCTCAAGTTGCATTAAAGACATTGGACAGATATGCATTGCGCATCTGCTACCCTTTATTTGCCGAAGTTGCCATGAGAACCAAGGCTCCAAGAATTTCCCAAATTTGGTGGAAAGGGCTATGATACTTCTGCTTTGTGCCGCTGGCTATGGGATGTGATTCACACTCACCCTGATGCGGAAGAAGTGCACCATCTGTAAAATGCATGTGCACTTAAAAAGTATCAGCACAGACTTTGCTGGATCCTGGATGCAACTTCCCTGAGGTGACCCCCAAAGACGTGTTGGCTCTTTTGCGATGGACGATGACTAGTGTTGACACTTACTTTCGTGCTGTGAACAAGAAGGGTAGAAGATGGATACCTGCCCCTGAAGCCTGCGCCCTTTGTGAACACTGCCACAACATATGCGAACCTCGTTCGCTATATCATGCATGAATGTTCATATTATGTTAATGGGTCAAGTGCGTGCAGCAGCTTGATCATATGTTTGACCTTTGTGCATGCCTTGGTGCTGAAGGAAGGGTACATTGCTCTCACAGCGTGGTCTGCTGCAAACAGTTTGAAACTTTTTAAGAGAAGACCAAAACTTCACATACAAGAAGAGATTGGGTTTCTTGTCTGTGAATTGTGGAGCAGCCATTTTTTTTTTGCAGATGCGCATGCCTGATGATGTTGATAGTTGCTTGCATGCATGCATTGGGGCTTTAAAGGCTGTGGATGCGAGACCAGATCCTGCGTGGTGCACAGATGATCATGTCCCCGATGAGCTACTTAGTTCAAATAGTTGATGCATGCATGCATGCTTAGTAAACATATATACTATTGATGTGAAGTGTGGTGCTTGCAGATTTTGCGACGTGGAATGATGAAGACTTCATTGGACGGGCCGGGGACCTTACTTTATACCTCATGCATGATGATAGCCTAAATCAGACCTTCACATGCATGATCTCGATGGTTATGTTTTTCACATGCATGATGGTCTAAAAGTTTTTCACATGCATGATGCTGGCTTGAATGTGCATGTGCTTCTTCTGTGCAACATGCATGGTGGTAGTTACGCTTCTGGCTGAGGTATCAAGAATGTCGCGACGCTGTCATGCATTTCTCATAGCGATTCGCACCATGAGACGTGCGCTTATGCACTACCGTCGCATATGGCGAAGGTATGGATGGATCCTAAGATGATGGACAAAGATGGAAAAAGTGTCTCATGTGCGGTGTGTGTGTGTGCTGGCAAGCATTTTCTTAGTTAAGCTATATATGTTGTAGGCATATATTAGAAAGCTACCCCAATGTATAGTTAATATCCTGGACCACCCTTTGAACACAAAAACTCGAGCACCTTTTTTTTTGACCATCTGAAACGAACACATAAATATGAAACGTGCAGAAATAAAGTGGTACAAGTTTTTGTGTACCAAAGGGTGCTCCAGGTATATATATATATGATATAACTTAGAATAATTTAGATGAACACTTCCGGATATTTCATGATATGTTTCCTAGCTGTTTTGATATTGTTTTCATTTTGTTCATTCTTTGTTGGTACTTTCTTCACTTTTCTTCACTTTCCAAGGTGATGTTGCGTTCGTATCCGAATGGAACCTCCTCGGCCCAAAGCTGCCAAGACTCGAGGTCCTGCAGGGTTGGTTTCATCCAAAAGAATTGCATTGGTCATTGGTCCATCATTTTCCATTTAAAAGTTGTAAGGTGTCTTTTTAGAGCCTACCAGATTCACACGAATCAAACATTTGGGGATTGAAAAGTAAAACCAATTATAATAGGCCAAACAAGAGCTTCAGGGTCCCCAAATAGTTGTAGCTTACTGCTGCAGCCGTCGTGGAAATCAGCCTTTTGTGATTTTTGTCCAGGCTTTTACGCCCAGGCTATCAATCTTTGATCATCTTTGTCGCGCGGTCCGCTTGAAACTCCCTGACTCGCTCGGCGGCTGCATCCATTTCTGCCTCCGCGAAAGCAGCATAGTGAACTTGCGGTGCCTTATCATGCCTTCTCATTTCCCAAATTCTCAAAATATCAGAAACTATGATTCTCAGATTCTCCAAGTAATTGACGAATAGATTCATCAACAGAATATGCGGACATGAGTAATTAATAGGGGAATGTTCAACAACTATGGGTGGAATTTCAGCACCGGAAGCAACAAACAAGCACATGGATGTCCACTGAACTAAGAGTGCATCCAAAATGAGACGTGCCCAAAATCCAATGATGACCTTCAAGTTACTTAAATCAGATCTATAATCATCTTAAATCAAGCAAATCGCTCTGAACTGGAAGGACCCACATGTCACATTTCTATTCGTTTCTTAGGTCCTTTGGGGGTTCCCATGGCTCGCAGGGAGTCCGCACGGAGGCAGAACAAGTGACATCGTCCTGAGCCACGTGGCGTTGGGGCGTGGACTTTGCGCTGCTTCCCAGGGTTTCCCCAAACCCTACGGGAGTTGATTTGAGATAATATATATATATATATATTATATAATATTTATAATTCTACGTATATATATATAGTTATCTGTGTGTGTTTGGGATGGATGTGATGGATACTTTGAAGATATTTCAATCATGAAAAATAATATGTCCCTTATCTTGGGCACCTGCAACTGAGCGCAGAGCCATCAGCGACTGCAAATGTTTGCATCTTTCTTCTGTCTCGCGGAAACCTTGGTGCCAATGGTGCCACAGATTCTTCTGCCACGTTACGCTATGGATGCTACGGCATACGTGGCGCGTAAGTTACGCCGTTGGGATTTTGTCGCAGCTCGCAGCTTTTCCACCACTGCTGTCTTGGTCATGACGCTGGCCATCGCGTTCTGCCAGTAACGGAGGGAAGAACTGCGAAGCTTCTGATGATGTGCGCGCATCTGCTGGCTGATCATGAAGGCATCCGCCTGGTGCGTTGGGAGTCACAAATGACTGAAGGGTTTTGGTGGCATGGAAATCTTCATGACAGTGCTGGGTGCTGGGCGACCAGCAGCAGCACAACTTTTTAGAGCTTGAAGCCTTAAAGTAATAATGCGATGTCCTTCCGAGACTCACGGTTTTTTCCGTTGTCTCGCACAAAAAGCTGGCAAAGCCAGTGTTTCAAGTTCCTAGCGATGTGATCTTGAAACAATTTCAAATGGGCTTAAGAGAACGAACAAATCATCGAGGAGTCTATCGGTTTGCCTCTCACCCAATCATTGAAACACCTTTGCGATGACATTGCCATGTTGCAGTTTTCTCGCGATGCTGGGTCTTGAAAAGAATTGAAAAGACATGTTCCTTCACAAGTTTGCCCAGCTCCGAAAAAAAACAATCTAACCTATGCACAAAATTGCTAAATACAGCTCGCACTTCTCTTGGAAGATTGCTGAAAAATGCCGAAAACAAGGTTTCTTGACTTTCAGCTGGAGAATACCATGCATTGCAGTGGCATTGCAAAAAACCTGTGATAGATGGGCATCATTCATATTCATTCATCCCAGTGTCTTCAGACCTCTTTGGGCACGTTCGCATTGTAAGTGGCATTCTGTGTGGAATTGATCTGGCCTTCGGTGATCTCTCCTTCAGGCCTCTCGCATGGCTTTCCAATCACCACATCATTCAAGCCTGCTGCACTTCGCGAATCTGAGAGGAGTTTGGTGTCATTTCGCCATTTCAGCCGGCAACAAACCATCACAGCAATGCTGGAACTGGCACTGACAATGGCAGCAGCAAAAAGCAAGACCCAAAACAAAGGGTCTTCCGCTGCATGTCGCCACCAACTTACAGGCATCACCGGACAACTGCTGCTGTCAAAGTTCTCCTTGGCGGCAAAAATGGACAGTGCACCATGCTCTGCTGCCACACTCAATTTCAAGGGGGCGGCTTCCACATTGCCACACGCAAGCAAAGCATAGTGCCAATCTCTTGTGGCAGTCTTCTGGCGGATATGGATTGCAAAAGCTGTCTCGACTTCTGGTTGAATACCATCTGGCCCATAGTCTGACAGCAACGTGTGATCAGTGGAGATTGCAAGTTTTTGCTCGCAACTGGAAGTGTCCCAGTCGCGGTTGGCCACACCCCATCTGTCTTCCCGACCATCAAATACTGCAAGGTACACCTGAGCTGACGCATGAAGTGGTCCTTGACCTTCCCAAAGAATGCTGATGCTGAGTTTTGCAGCTGGTGCTCCGTCAACTTGACCAAAGCAGAACCCCCCTAGGTGCCACCAGCTGTTGCTTTGCAGCACAGGTTCTGCATGTAACGCTGGATATGTGACTCCAAAGGAAGCCATGCCAGGCGAAATCATAGAAGCCAACAGAACTTGGAAGAATGCCATGATGCACGGACAAGATGTTCGGATGCTCTAAGCTGCCCCCTACTCGAGCCGTTGGAAACTTGGCGATAGCAACAATCTGTACATTACAGCAGTAGACTGGAGTCCAAATGCCAGCAGGTGTGGCAAGTGACGGATCTTCAATATCTTCAATGCCAAATGAAAAACCATGAAAACAGGTTGCAAAAGACAGGACGCTTTGAGAGTTTCTAAAGCAGCATCTGGATGATCAAATTACACCAGGGATGCCAGGACGCCTCCGATATCGTGGCCAGCTGCAACATCTCTCGAGCGCTCCTGAACGGATTCACCAGACCAAAAGATGGTTGCACCCACGAGCATATCATCCAACTTTTGAGGACAAAACTCGCAAGAAATGCGAACACATCATCACATGAGTATCATGTTAATAAATCACCTTGATTGTATGCCCTACAATGCCCTACATACACTGGACACATCTGGACACCTATCTGTCGCTATGCACATCTGGACACCTATCTGTCGCTACGCACACGAGCCGCGCCGAGATGCTTGAAACGGATCAGGTGGGGCCAAATCTCCCATTCCGTGTACTGAGCCCAGTAGCCTCACAAAGTCCGCCAGCTTTCTGAGATGAGATACGACAGATACGAGCCGATGCATCTACAAGATATATGTGGGAATATATATATATAATATAGTAGCTCTACATTGTGTACACACACAGATATATATATATATATACATTGTGTATACACACAGATATATATATATATATTCACTGTCAATGCGCGTGACTGTGAACATGTGTGTGTGTGTTTTATGGAATTGATGTATACAAATATCGATAAATAGATGGATTGCTCCTGAAACCAGCCAAGAAGCGTCGATCTTCTTCGAAACTGCCAGGGTGAAAGACCTTGCCCTGAAAGTCGAAGGGGGAAAAGGGGTGGCTGCAAGTTCCAGCTTGCCTCAGATGGATATATCACGGTAGGAGAGTGACACCAAGGGATCTAATTATGTTTATGTGTCTTCAAAGTCAGTTGAATTCGTCTTGCCCGTCTTACCGAGTTTTCAGAACTCATCCAAAAAAGTCACTCATCGTCATCCGATCAAGATGCCAGCAATCCCAGCCCAATGTGACATATGGAGCTTCATCACAAAAGAAATTGTCCTCTTTGGAACAAAAACGATATGGGTTGGTCTCAAAACAGCGCACCCCAAAATCTACCCAAAAACAAATCTTCTATGTTTGGACTATCCCGTCTCACAATGTCTCACAGTTTTTTTTGCTAGAATTATCCCATGAAAATTATCCATATCAAATATATTCAAATATCACCTCCCCATATTTTGGATATATATATATATAGTTATATATATATATAATCATATATATATATTATATATATATATATGTATATTATATATTCTATTTGGATCAGTTGACCAGTTGGTTCCCGGCACAGACCTCGACCTCCGACTCGACCTCCGAGTCTCGGATCCACGGAGCGCGAGAGATCCGGATCGCTGCGGCCACAGAAGGGTCCCGCGAAGGGCCACAGGAATTTGTGCAGCAAAGGCAGGGCTGGGACCAGGGTGGGAGAAGCCAACCTGGGGAAACGATGTGATGGATGTGGGATGGGAAACGATGGAAGTCATGGAACATTAATATAGAACATATATAGAAAATAGATGGAAACTAGATGGACATATCATGACATACCAGGATGGGATGGTGGGATCCTGCCATTCTGAAATTCTCGAAGTTTTGGGAAGGAAGGTTTCTGGGCTCCTTGAGATTCCCAAAGCATCCCAAACCAAGCGAAGGAAGCCACAGAAACAACTTGGAACTGATCATTGTGAATCCATGTGAATCCCATCCGTCTTATATTACTATAGGTCAATAGGTTCTGATGACTTGGGACCTGGCGAAGCCTTTTTTTCATACCTTTTTCGGCTGATGACTTGCGAGGCGCGTTTTTTTTTGGCAAAAATTGTTCCGAGAGTTAAACCAGTTTTTTCTGCAAGACCTGCGTGAATATGAGGTGAACCTGCAGGCTCTGGGTCAGTGACTTGAGACTTTTTGGTGCCATAAAAATGAACTGTCCATGTCATGGGGACAAGAGTGAAATATAGATGAAATGCGCGAATACTTAAGACTTTTTGTTTTTGCATGTCAAACGCCCTTGCCAGTCACTATGTAGCCAAATGACTTAGGACTTGTGTGAAATTGAACGTTATAGATTACATAATAAGTAAACATCGCCCTGTGAAACGTTACCTTTTCAATCAGGATGACTTGGGATTTGGCCGAATCTGATTGACAATGTAAGCAAGGGAGATAAAGTATACGAAATATTTTTGGAATTCACATGACTTGGGACTTGTGTGAAACTGTGTATGTTTAAGTAGACCGTGCCCTATGAAACAAAGCTCCATAAATCAGGATGACTTGGGATTTGGTGGAATCTTATTGACAATGTGAGCCAGGTAGAAAAAAATATGAAATGTTTGTGGAATCCACATGACTTGGAATTTGTTGCGCGATGCTTTCCTGACAAACTTTGTGTCGGGGTCTTCCGGACAAGGTTTGGGTATTGGTAGCAGGGCCTTTAAACCCATTCGAAACACCAGCTGCAATGAGATCAGCCGAGATAGCATCGTTGTACGGGTCTCTCGCTTCGCAGCTTCGAGACCATTGTACCGCTGGGGAACTCCCTCTGCGATGGCAGGCTTAAAGCTGCTGGCGCTTATTTATACTTTTTTAGTTAGCTGGTGGTTGTTTCTATTAGAATGGCGCTGTTTTATCGCATAGGCTCAGCACATGTCGTTGTGCCTTTAGACAGAAGGTCAATGTCAAAGCCTTTTCTGTCAGCGACATGGTGTCCCAAATGCCATTCAGCGAGCAACTCCCAAGTCATTGTTTTTTCCCATTGACAAAAGGTGTGATTACCCGCAAAAAAAATGTCTCGGGCACAATTCCCCCAAATTATGATGCATTTTTGTGACTTGGGGAACTGGATCCCTAAAAACGGATAAAGAAAAAATGGATAACTTGGGAAAGCCGCATTTTGGAATGTCGTCCGACATAATTAATTGTAGTATATTAGTTACTGGACTATATTAGTGATTATGAGTCCCGTGGGTAGACTTGCAGCCGACCTTTGGACAGCTCCCCCAAACACCGCTTCGACCGCGGCACGCGAAGACATCTGGCAGCCGCTGTGCATATGGCACGTGGGGCAGCAGTGCCAGCACCCGGTAGCGTCCAATTTCTTGGAAGCCTCAAATGTCAGCAGAGATCAATGCCAGGAGAGCCAAAAAGGGGCCCAAAAATTTGGGCCCAAAAAGCAGTCGCAAACTGAGAAGACTGGAAAACAGTTTCCCCAAACCCATCAGTTGACTGGGTTTTTCTGTGTACCAAGTGGCTCAAGGACTTCTTGGAGGAGTCCATGATCACAACTCTGGGCACCGGGACACCACTGGCGCGGGCCTTGGCGGTGCAATAGGGGAGCCATGGGAATCCAAGGTGTTTCTATTAGTTCATTGATGAACATTGTTGTTGGGTGGCTCCCACGTTATATATATATATACAATAAATAAATAGATAAATGCATAAATCATATTAAATCAATAAATAATTGCATTATTATTGTATATGCATGCATTTTCTTTATACTACATGTTACAGATATGAATTATGTTAATTGATGTTACTTCCATAGTCACTCCAGAGGGGAAGCATCATGAAAGGTCAACACTTCCCGCAAAATGGTCAGCTCATGACCTCTTCCATACCATAGCCCACCTCCTCAGTAAGCATCTGGATCACTCGAATAAAGCCCGGTGCCCCAGGCAGCCGGAAGCGAAAGAGCAAGACGTCCTTGGCAGATCTTGGCCCCAAGGACCAGCTGCGGGAGGTCCAATCGGCTTCCAAAACAAATTGGAGATGCCATGGTATGCCCAAAGACCTCCGAAAATTCATCCAAAATTACAAGTTCTTCAATGTCATGCCTTTCGTTTCGGGAATTTATGGGCCTCCAAATGTTGTGCTTTCATTCCCTCAACCCCCCATGACTGGGCCAGTGACTGAGGATGTAGGCGAATATTTTGCTGTTTGCGACACGTGCAATGACAGGGCCGGCACGTACAAAGGCCGAATGCCTTGGAACTGCGGCATTCAGCCACCAAATACTGGGGCCATGATGTGCCACTGCTTAGAGCATCTCAGAATGGCTATATAAATAGTGAATCATTAATATAACAGTGTAAGTTGGAAACTATCCAGCATTTCTGCTGCACGGGCACTGGCTTGGAAATGCAGGATCTCAGCCGAAATCCTTGCGGCCGCACTGATGGTAGCCTTCAGCCGCTCCAGCGAGGGAGTTGGGTTTGGGGGAGGGGAAACAATGAGTTGTTCATAGTTTGTTCCTCTTTCCTCTCAAGATATGGTGAGTTCCTGGAGATGTTCCCTTGAAGCAATTCCGGAACAAATCCCTGAGATTCTCATTAGAAACAACAGCTGGAAGGCATCAGGTTTACCATCAGATCTGTCTTATTTTCAAGAAACCTCAGAACCCTCCGCTAGTTACAAGAAACAGATTGTTTTTCTTGCTCTGAGTGCCAAAGATGATATTGAGTTTCAGCGGGCTTCCAACAAACAGTTACAAGGTCTTGGGGTACACTTTCAGGATTTGGTTCCTGTCCATGCTAGCCAAGGGTGGGATTGGCTGCTTCCGCAGTGAACCCTGGAGGAATGGAAGTTTGCACAGGTGTGGGTGTTTCTGCGACTTACAGGCGGCCCACGTCTAGGACGTGGGGAGGTGGCAACCTTACTTTTTTGCCTCGTTATACAGCTGTGCTGGAACCCTTGACGATTTCTTATATTTCTTGGAGTCGGATTTAGCACAATTTATCTCCAGAAATTTCCCTATGTCTTGTAGCCCTCTTTCATTCTGCCATTTCTGCGACGGTTAATGCTGCAAGGGTTAAGGTTGTATACATCCGATGTTAGCGGAAGCGGCTCCAGGGTGAAGATGGTCAAAGGGTGCTAGACCATGTGGTGTTGGAATTGTGAGCAAGGCTATTGGGTCTGGTGACTAGAGGAGATAATATCTCTTTGCTTGCTCGGTGGTGATGCATATCACCCAAGTATAGCGTGCGACATAACGACCTGATCGGCATTGCCCCACGGGTACCGCATGTCCCACTTGCCTCTCACACAGTTGAGGTTTCATACTCAAGTGAGCGGAATTGCAACTTAAGCTCATTAATTAAGCTCATTGAGCTCACTAGCTTCTACTACTTACTAGCTCATCTCAACTCCTGGGTTTGGCAGACCTTGTCAGTCCATGCACCAAACATCGGAAACGAATCCGGCCTGTGGCTGCATTTCCGCGCCCATTCTGCGAACCAAGGGCCAAAAATCTGGCAACTCCTTTCAGGCAGCATGGCAAATATGAACAAATACACCCCTAAACATCCCCCCCAATGTGTGCCATTTTAGGGGCTTTGGCCCAGTTGCCCTAACTATCCTGAACTGTTTCACGACGTGAAACACATGATTTCACCAGACACAGCACCTGTTCCCCAAAGACTTGGGCGAAGGAGTGCAGAAGGCACATGCTGACGCGAACCAACAGCCGGCCGGCTCCGATGGCTGCATGCATCCTGAGCAAAGTTATGCTCCGCTGAACCGGCTGGCCCCCCAAAACCCTATGGCAAGGATGGCCCAGGATGGCCTCTAAAGGAAAAAACTTAGCCAAGGAGCAGCACACACAGCCACAGTGGTTCACAACAAACTCGTAGACCTTGAATGACCCAGCTACCCCACATCATGGCATTGGTTGTTCCGCAAAAAAATATGAAATCGGTTGAAATTCCCATGGAAATTCCCTAAAATACCAAGCGCATCCCTGTTCTGTGGACACCTGTCAAGAAGAGACATTTTGGTCACATTGGCATGCTCCAATCTTCCAGTGTGAATTGAAGTTAATCATCCACATTTGGGGGGAAATGCGGCTAATATCAGCCAACATGAACATGACCTTGCCCATCCACTCTTCCCATGTACGATTCGTATATGTTTAAGCAATCAACCTGGCGAAACTGAGCTAGATATCGAACAATCCTGAACCTTCTGAACCCCCCATAGTTTCCACAAGAACTGATCTACAAATGGTGGATTTTCCACATTTCTCAACATCTCATGGATATCTATCATTTCTGTATCCATCACCACCTTAATTGCTGTATCGTCGTTTTCCATCTTAAAATTGCCATAAAATGAGTGGCGGATGTCATTTTGAAGTCCATTTTACGTGGCAGGTGTGGGACGGTCAATCATCACCTTCTTTTAAATCTATAAGACTTTACTGTAAATCTTGTGAAGGGTAGAACTGCGACCGGGGTACAACACAGCTCCAGCTAGGATTCTAAGCGGAAAGGGCGTGCAAAGGCAGCAGCCAAACACAATCACCGTCAGAAAGATCAACAAACGCAACTCTTGTCCTGCAATGTGATTCATCTCCCAAGTATAAATATATCAACTATATGAATACACACACACATATATATATATATTAATGCATATGTACATATATTAATTAATGTACATATATATATATATATGTATAAATGTGTGTATATATTTATGTGTGTATATTTATTATATATATATATATAGATATTAATGCGTATATATATATATATTAATTAATTATATAATTAATTAATTAATTAATTAATTAATTAATATGTATGTATATTTATTATATATATATATATATTATATACATAATGATATCCTAATGATATCCCAATGATATCCCCATTGTATCCCTCATCAAATGTCACCAAGTCGCGCGCTCGTCGTAGGAACTGGTTCCGCCATGCCCAGCCTCTCAAGGCCTGGACTGCGCCCAGCACGCTCCAACGGGGCAAGGTCTCGGAGCGACCTGCTCGGTTTGAAAGATCTATTTTTGATAGGAAACGATTAGGAAACCATTGATTTTTGATAGGAAACCTTTGTTACATATTGTTACCATGGTCGGGTTTAAGGTTGAGTTGTTCTTGCAGGATTGACCTGCAAATACAGGAGGGTCCTGCAGATTTTGATGGAGCTTGGGGTCCGGTTTCTTACTTCATGGGGTAAAAAAGTTGACGTCCTGCCTTGAGACTTTGTCAATGGCTCGCCCCAAAACCTTGGTGGTTTCTGTCTCAAACAACCCCATTTTCCATGATGATCCATGATGATCCATGATAACCATTGATTGATCCATGGTGGCTCCCGACCAAGAAACTCTTCCCAAGAGATCTGCAAGGAGGCACGGAGCTGATCTCCTTGGGAGGTGCCCTCGAGTGCCCAAAGATACGTGAAGAAATGGCCTGCTTCCACCTCGAAATGCCGGGCAAATGAGTCACACAACTCACTCAACGGCCAAGCTGATGTGTAGGATGGTGATGAGACTGAGGATAGTGATGGTGGTGATGGTGGTGATGAGGAGGACGAAAACAATCGAAAACAACAAGGAAAAGGGCGTTTCATGACTTTGATGAACGACCAGCATGGGCTTCTCACACCTCCAGCGGCTTCGCACAGGCCGACTGGAAGGCCGCAGTGATGGTGCTAAGGTGGTCCATGTTCACCGGCCCATGCTCTCCGATGAGCGCCACAGGGATCCTTTCATCGCACTGATCGGTGACCAACACCGCGTCCAACGATGCCAGCGATGGAGCATCCTGCCACCAATCCGTCAGCTGGGCAGGTGGGATTGGATTCTCCTCCAGGTAGCTGTCGTAACTTTCATAGTAGTGGCCCGGCCGAACATTCAGGTTCACCGCCTCAAATGATCTCAAATGTGGGAAGTAAAAGAATGTAAAAGAGCTACACAATCCAGGGACAGTGGGGACATTTTAGCCATGAGCGTTCATGAGCTTTCATGAGCTTTCATGAGCTTTCATGAGCACCATCTCTGGTAGACCAGCTGAATCTTGTTTAAATATGAGTGGCAGAAGTATTGTCACCTCATGGCCTGAATCTGAAGGACTTCATGCCATCGATTTTTGGGTCCGCCGGAGGCATTACCAGTCGGGTCGCTGGGTCGGTTGATGTTTCAACAGCATCACCGCTTCGTTTCCAAGACAAACACTGAAACATCAAGAACCGCGGCATTGAGGCTGCAACAGTCAACCCAGTTCAGTTAACATCTTGGCATTTTGAAATTTAGGACCTAAGTCTAACTCACTTCAGTTTCCCATGGCCTCCCGGACAGTCCCGCTCTGACAACTCCAAGGCAAGTGACAATGTCCGAGGAAGTAATTCCCCAGTGAGCCTAGAAATCGAAGAGTAGACTGGCTTGGCTTGGCCAGGTGGCAAATGGTGGCAATATGTTAAGATGACAACTACATACAACTACTACACCCATACGCCCAAGTCCTTGCAATGTTTGCGTTTGACAGCTATTCTCAATCAAAACGCTCGCCACGACCCCTGTCCCGGCACAGACCTTGCAAAACCCCTTTCCCCATTGGAAACGCTAGCTTTAACAAGCCTTGACCAAACTATCATGGTTCTATTATGTTCTATTCTTTTTTGATCGAATCCCATCGGAACGCCGGTTTCCAACGGGCCTTTTTTCGTGGGCACTGTTGACGCCCACAAACAAAAACGCGAAGCAGGCCCTTTTCCTAGTTTGTATACTGCAGGATGGGTTCTGATAAAGGAAAAAAACGAGGTCCAAAACGAGGTACGGAAAAAGCCCCGCATCTACACACATGGACTTTGGCCCGCAAGCCGCAAACCTGCCCTTCCTTGGATCACTGGTAGCGAAACAATGACAATTTGCAGAATCCCAGCACACCGCCGTGGCAGTGTAGAGATGATAATCCCAGCGTTGTGTAGAAGTACCCGGAAACAGCAACAGCAGCAGCCGTCGAACCAGCAGCCGCAGCAACAGCAAGACGCCAGTAGCTGCAGAACCCAACAGCAACCATCCCAAACACAATGAGAACGCAACTAGCAAGATTAAAGCACTATGCTAATAGTAAAACAACGCCCTACCCCAAACACAACCTAAACGCCGCTTCGCCACTTTAGGTCTACATGAGATAGTAAGACAGCAACCTACCCTAAACACAAGCTAAACGCCGCATCGCCACGACTTCCACAAAAGCCTTCCCCCAAGCTAATTTCAAGATTTTTGGGATTTCGCCACGACTTGGGCAGTTGGGAGTATAGTTGCAATACAGTTGCTATATGTTGCTATACTATAGAAACTATAGAACCCACACCAGTGGTGCTATCAAACAACTTGCTGTGATGCCGCCAGGTGGCTGATTCGGAATGGTCTAGAACATAGGATGGTACTGCATAAATGAGCCCAAAGGCATTCACCATGCCCTCCTCAGAGCAACACACTGCTTTTAAAGGTCAGTCTCCAATCGCAAGGTGCGATGCCGCTAAGGGTCCCAGTAATCCTTCAACAAAGAGGTTCCCAAGGGATTGCGGACTTTGTTCCTCGGCAGGATCTCCCAGTATGAAACAGCGACGACATGTTCGCAACGCAATGAGTCTGAGCTGAAGCTCGCAATGAAAATCACGTACTGAACCAGAACGAAGCCAATGGGACACGCTAAAAATCCTGCATAGTCAGCACCCCATTTCCTCAGCTAAAGATATGCGCAAAACTCTGACAGGGCTTCATGGTCACCAGACCTCCCAAGTCATGGCAGCTGATGCGACTTGCAACCCATTGCAACCCACCCCAACCATGCGCCAAGGCTCGGTGGGGTGTCGAAGAGGTGCGAATAGGCAGCTTTCTGAAAAATCACGGGTAGATCGATCAAGCCATTGATGTGTAGCTCCACTTCAGAGCCATTCCTGGGACCCAATGGGTCATGGCCATTGAAACGAATCCTACTTGTATCCGAAGCTCTGAGGGAATTCTATATCTCCTTGTACTCCCTTTTTTGCAGCTAAGCTGCAAATAGTTCAAGCCCGGCACTGTGATGATAGAATTCCCAGACAGTTGACCTTTCTCAACCATCTGCTCTTGATAGTTTTCCCACTCTCCCCATTTCCTGCGAGCATTGCTGTTTCTCCGGTGGTCAAGCCCTTGCCTTTGAGTAACCGAAACTGAAACACGCTTAAATGCCAACCAGAGCCCACAAGAATTACAATATGGAATTCCCAAAAGGTGGCACAAGCTGAAGGTCAAAATGTGTGTTTCCTCAAAACTGTGGTTTGTCCGACATCGTTTTAGCAATACCCCGGAGCCTGACAGCGAGCTGCAAAGTGGTGACCCCCAAGACGCCCTCAGACTTCAGAGCTTCGCGGAACATGGGCCAAAAGATGTGGTCATCACCAAGGCCATCCTGAGAGGCGATTCGGTGTGCTGAGAAAGTTCGGAATCCAATGGAATCCATCATAATTCATCAATGTTTCATCAAGGCTGGGTGAAATATGGGTGAAATATGGGTGAAATATCCATCAATTTCTGCTGCAAATGTTTCTAGTTTCATCATGTTTCATCCACCTGGTCCAGTTTTGGTGTTTTTTTTCTCGGGAGACCAAAGCCGGCGACCCACAGCGCCAGGCGACGCAATCCAGAAAAGCGGCTGCACGCCTCAGAGACATTCAGAGACATTGGCCACCTGGAAGGTGCCACCATATCCCAACATGGCATAGGGAAAATGATAGGGAAAAGGATGGAAAACAAGATGAAGAAGTGGATTGAATCATATTGAATCTAATTTAATCATTCTAATCTATTCAATTTAGGGCATGATGATGGGCTACCCTATGGTTGATGTACCTGGTACGTTCCATCACGTTCGATCACCGCATGACGAGGCGCTCAGGGGTTAATTGACCCCAGCCACGTGCCCACGCGCCCAGCTCCTCCACCTCGTCGCCTCCATTCCTGGAACTGGTGATAGCTGGTGCCAAGTGACCAGCACATGGGGCCAGCCACCAGCATCTTCCAAACCCAGCGCCCATGGCGCAGTTCTTCGACCTTCATGGCCTTTCAGGGAGAGGTTGGAGGCCAAACTGGCATCGGAAGCTGGATTTATTTTTGGGAAATTGGAGAAGTTCCAAAGTTGGGAGATCGTCCATATCTAACGAATCTAATTATAGATCTAATTAGAGTATAAAGCCTGGACTGATAAACCCCGAATTTAGATTAGCTTTTGAAATACAAATGAAAACGCAATTTCGGGTAGGGGCCTAACTCATGAGGGTGTCTCAATCCGTGCCTCAAGCGACACTGCGACCGGGGGAATCTTGGCCGGAATTCTGTAGCTTTCTGATTCTTCACATGTCTAAAAATTGGGTCTACCAGGTCCCAAAAATGGCAATTTTGATAGGGAATGTGATGATAAACCTTGAGGATCCATGGGGTGTACATTATTCTCAAACAAACCCACAGCAGATTGCATTGAATCCGAGCAGTTGACAACACCTGGTGTCCTGGTTCTTGGATGCATTTTCTGTGGTCCTTGATGAGCCATGTCTCAACGCGGTTGGAAATCGGAAACAGAATGCATCCCACTCCTTTTGCACATCTGGAATTCAAGACCGAACTCTGAAATGTTCAGAAATCAAGCAGCAAATTCATCGTCCACACCCGCAAGCAATATCTAATCCATGTTGAGATTGATATGATCTAATTTAGAATGAATCAAGATATTATGACTAACCTACTACATTTGAGTACAGTGACAATGTATTCGACACGGCATGACTTGGAGCGGTCAAGTTTTAGAGCTTGGCACGCTTTGCCATTAATGGAGCCAAGGTGGTGTCAGGAAACTACAGCAAAACGTGTTCAGCAGTGCTGTCGCCCACCACCCGGTAGTACCATGTAATACCCCGGTCGGGGTGTTCTACCACATGAACCAGCACCAGTTCTGTCAGGTGCATCACATCAAATTATTGTCTACGTGAGGAAGTGCAATGGCCCCTACGTTGCATTGGTCAAGACACATTCCAACGGAATCTGCACAGAATCGGCCAATTCTTGCGAGCTTCCCAAATTGGAGTTGGATTCGTCAAACATTGATGGTGGTTTTGGCAATAACATGTGTATAATTGTGTATATCAAATATATATATATTTATAAGAGACAGATTTGTACACGTCGTTGCCCAGCAATGATTATGACTCTTGGTTTGTCACTCTCGTAGATGTCACGTACTCTTGTCCAGCCCGAAAGGGCATGAGCTCATGCTCAAAGGAGCTCACTGCATAGACTTGCGTGAAGCATGTTGAAATTTGAAGTCAACATAATTCAAAAAGACCCATGCAAATTGGACCAAAATAATTATATATATATATGTTATAATAACATATTAAAAAAACGGGTCACTACTGTCATTACTTTCTTCTGTATCTTTGGACCTTGAGCATTTCAGCATTTTGAAGAAGCGGAAGCCCTTCATCGCCTTGATCTAAAAAATCAGGGCGTTTTACACTTCCTCACGGACCAACGAGCTTGTTCTCGAGGCCAGGAAGACGATAAAGAGATATAAAGAGTATCCGTGCACATGCAGATGTGAATTAATGTGAAGCAGAATAGAAGGTCCGCCTCACACCTTGACAATACTGAATTTTGAATGTCAAACAGTCAAACATGATCAAACATGTGCGTTCGTCCACTGCATCGAATACTCACGGAGTGTGAAGATCAACAAGAATCGGATAGAATCGGTATGCAGTAGGCACCACCAACAATGAGATACAAAAAGGGCGAGAAACGGCATAAGTGAAGCGATAAAACCGTTGATAAAACCCTTGATACAACCGTTGAGTCTCGATATGTCTCGATGCCCCGCGGAGTGCTCAAGCATTTTGCACAAGTCTCATTGAAACGCGACAGAAAAAGCTCCGGGCAGGCGATTGGACCATCTGGTTATGACAGTTTGCCATGGAAAATCCGGGTAGCCACCATGCTATTAATAGGTAAACATAGGTATGTAACATAGGTAAACCATCTATTTCTATGGGCCATGTAAAACTATGGCTATGTTAGTCATAACCAGAGGATATGATTTAAACTCGCAGCCATTCTCCAATGTCTGTTTCAGCCACCTACATTTGACCTCCAGTCAACTTGGCTACAGCAAATGACGAGGTTGCGAATTACAACCCAGTGAACCCATTGTGAACCCGGGGTTGATATGATATGAATTATCCATGAGTCACGACAAATAAATGGTGGTATCCAGGCAGCCTCACCAACTAGGCACTGCTGGCTGCTGCATAATGTCGCAAACAGCTGGCAGTCGGGACTCTTGAAAGAGGTAGCACTGGATCCACCAGGCGGTTACCACATTCCCCTTGGTACCCTTGGTGATGGGTTGACGCACACGGTCAAGCCACAATTCCTCTGAAAAATCACCATCGAATCTTCAATGTCAAATGATATCAATTGATATCAACGCATTATCAACACATCATACTTCGGTGGGTGGCACTTAGGCTTAGCACCAACTCCCAATTTTAATGGGACCGGGAGCAGTGCATTTAAATGTGGTGACCCCTTTCCAAAACCTGTCAGGCTGTCAGCCTCCCTCACACCTTTGCATCCTTTGCATCCTTTGCCTTTGGTTTCCTCAGGTTTTTTGCACCAAGTTCCTCTAGCCACTGAGCCTCGCAATTCGGCACCTGGAAAAGTTTGGTGAAAGCCAAACTGCAGAGATATATGCCATTCATTGATTCGCCGGTTTGTTTGATGCAGCATTTCAGGCTATATTTTGTACGTGTGAGTTAATGTATTGTCGGGATTAGGGCACATAAACACGCGACAACTCCAAAAATATCATGTCCGGAATAGCTTTGACTATTTAGACAGTTTTCGAACATCATCCTTTGAACTGCACCCTGAAATCAAAACCCATCCCAAGATAAAACCTTGCGGTTTTATATCGTTTTTCCACTTTGTTGGATGATGTTCCACATTGTTCCTGCTGTTTTCCCAAGAAATGGGGCAGTTAGACATTGCAAAATAAGAAAAACACGATTTCCAAAACGTATCCGGGTCTTTCGGCCTATTTATGTTGACTCATGTTGGCGAACTCCGCATGTTTGTTGGCGAAAAAACAAATGCCGCTTGAATCTTCATGGCAGTGGATGGCGCAGAAAAAACAAAAAGTTTCGTTTTGCTTCGATCACCTTGAACCCGTTTGTTTTCCAATTTAATCATGTTTTTCTCTGAAATCAAACCATCCAAAGTTCTCCCTGGACCCGCCTGCACCAAGGGATCCCTCGCGAGCTTCGCAAAGAACTCCTCAAAGCCACGGGGCGGCGGATGGCGCTGCAGCTGTGAGAGCTGCTTCTTTCGGGGAGCGGATGGAGAAGAACCGGAAAGCTGAAACACCTGGAGCGCACCGGAAATGACTGAGGATATAATGGTACATATTTTTTTTAAAAAAAAAACTTGTATATATACATATATATGAATAACACAAATATAAGTGTATACATATGGACAAAGAGAAAGAGAGAGAGAGAGAGAGAGTGTGTATATATATAATGGTATATTATTGGTATAGTGGATGTATCAATAGATGTATGAATAAATATTTGCCCAACATATTTCAACAACATATTTCAATAAATATATACGTATATATACATATGTTTAAATAGGAATAGATAGATGGATGGATAGATAGATAGATAGCTAGGTAGGTAGGTGGGTAAGTAGGTAGATAGGTAGGTAGGTAGGTAGGTAGATAAGTAGATACGTAGATAGGTAAAAGGTAGATAGGATAGATAAAGGATAGGTAGATAGGATAGGAAAGGATAGGAAACGCCAGGAAAGGATAAGATAGGATAAGGTAGGATAGGGTAGGATCGGATATGATAGGATAAGATAAGATAAGATCAGAACAGATCAGATAAGATAAGATCAGATAAGATCAAAAAGAAAGATAAGATAGATAAGATAGATGAGATAGATAAGATAGATGAGATAGATAAGATAGAAACAAATAGATAAGATGAGTAGATGGATAGATGTATAGATGCATGGATGGACAGATAGATAGCTAGATAGATAGCTAGATAGAAGCTAGATAGAAAGCTAGATCGATTCAGATACATAAATTCAGGTAGATAGATAGATAGATAGATAGATAGATTGATAGATAAATAGATAAATAGATAGATAGATAATGCGGGCTACCATAGGTAAAAACACTAGGGTCACCCCCCAAAATAATTTTTAGGAATTAATCTGAGGTGCTTCTAGTACACAACCCCCCTCAATGTTTTTTTGCAAAAACACTCAAACCCACCTCAAAATAATTTCCTTTGACACTACCCACCCCCCCAAAATAATTTCTGAACGGTTGCAAATAAAATATTCGGTAGGGTTCCACTATTACTCAAAAACACTTCCCTTACTTCAAAATAATTTTGGAAATTGATTATTTCGAGGTGGTTTAAGATGGTTTTGGATGATTGAAAAAACAAGTAGAACCACCTCAAAATAATTAGCAAAAAAAACGCGCAATTATTTTGGGGGGTCACCCTACCTCTCCTCTCGAATGCACCCGACAAGCACTAAACCACTTGGAGGTTGTGGCACAAATCAAATAAATCATCTCTAAACCGACCCCCTTTCACACCCAAAAATTATTTTGGGGGTGGTTCACTACTGAACCACTTATTATTTAAATTTAGACCATCGATTTTTGGACAAAGAAATCTGAATCGACCCCCTCCTACCCAATCAATTATTTTGGGGGTGGGGGTACCACCAGACCACCCCAGAAAAAATAATAGCCTAACCTGGCAAAATTAACTTCCCCTTGAATAGTTCAAAAATACTACATACTACATTGAACCAAATTGAATCCAAATTGAATCAAATTGACCCAAACTGTATCCAAATTGCCTCAAAGAGACAAACCCTGAGAATTACCATGAATTACTTACTGAACTACTTATTTTTTAGAACATCGACTTATCATCGACTTTTGGGCAAAGAAACCTGAATCGATTCCTCTCTCCCCAAAAAAATATTTTGGGGGTGGGGGTACTACCAGACCACCCCAGAAAACAAAATAACCTAACCTTGCAAAACTCAACTTCCCCATGAAATAATTTTCATCCTGGGTGTCTGGTAATTATTTTATACAGTTGGGACTCTATGAAATAATGTCCCCAGTTCAACTGAGAAATTATTTTGAGGTGCCTTCGGTTGTTTGCTTAAAATTATTTCAAGGTGCTTCAACCTCTGTAGGTGGAAGTTATTTTGCACCATCATCGGGTTACGGGTGCATAAATTATTTTGCTATGGTTCTTGTTCGCTGATGTTAACATAAAATTTATATTAAAAAATGGAAATCATTTTAAACAAATTATTCCATAACCCACTCCCACCTCAAAATAATTTCCTAAGGTAGGACGCATGATAGATAGATAGATAGATAGGTAGATAGATAGATAGATATAGATAGATAGATAGATATAGATAGATAGATAGATAGATAGATTCCACTTGGTAGCCGTTTTCACACGTTTGGGCCTTAAGGTCGACCTGTATGTGCATGCTATGTACCATGCCCCATCCATGACACTCAGAAATGTCAAGTCTGCTCCTGTGTTGGAGCTGGTTTGGGGTTCATTCCATCTGTACACTTATATGGTCTGTTTCTATGTCAGTTGCCTCAAATTTTCGTACAGATTTGCGATCTGTTCTTCCCGTTCTGTCTCTGACAGTCGGAAGTCTTCACGCAGAATGATCCGCCTGTTGCGGAATCGGAACAAGCCCAATTGGGTATTGAAATTCCTCTCAGTGTCACCAAACTCATTAGAGGTCTCCCGGATGAAGTAGCGCAGAACTCCATCAGGTGCTGAGGTGTGACCAATCAGCTCAGCATGAGGATAGGTTCCTGGAGCCTCCATAGATCTTGCATGTTGGTCATAGATCCCAATGACCTCCAAAAGTGAGGCGGCTCGTCGGTGTCTCCGGATGAAGGCCATGAGGTAGTGCTCCATGTTGTTCGACTCAATGGTCATGATGTGCAGCCTGTTCCTCAGTTGTAGTTCTCGGCGATAAGCCCGGTCTGCATCATGAGGTACATCATCCAAGGCTGCGTCCAACTCATAGTCGAACTCGTTGTTCACTGGTGACAGTCTGGGGCTGTCGTCTCTTGACCTTGATGCTGTCTCATCAAAGGTTCTTTCCATCCAATCTTCACCTTCAGGTTGAGGTTCATCTGATCCTTCCACTTCTGACAGTCCTTCTTCAGGTTCAGGTAGAGGTGGTCGACTGTCATGTGTTCTCGGTCGACTGGATGAAGGTTCTTCAGGATGTGGTCCTGCTCGTCTTCTAGCTGTCCTGTAAAGGATGTTGATGTCGTGGACCGTCTCGCTGAGTTGCAGCTGCAGTTCGATCATGTTGTGCTCTGTCGTGAGCATCCTGTTCACCAAGTCTGCTGTGATCAGCGGCTGAACTCGTTGTTCAGATTCATCCTCCACCATGTTGTTGAGCTTCTTCACCAGCTTCCACAGGTAGTATACCATACCCAGCAAAATCATGCAAACGGTGGATATCGAAAAGAGGACCACCTTCTGTACTTTGAATTCTTGTTCTGACTCGACAGGGCATTGATCTCCTTCTGAAGTGCCTTGAGTCAGACTGGCAGCACAAGTCAGTGCCAAAAGCCAAAAGCTCGCTCTTGTACTCCACGTAGAAGATCTCGAGGTAGAGCTCCTCCGTGAAGTAGTGTAGTTCTGGATCTCCTTGAGGTCCTCCATGCTCATCATGTTCTGAATCCACTTTTCATCTCCTTCGTTCAAATCATCCTCTGAGAATTCTTCTTGAACTGGGAGTCGTCTCGCTTCCAGCGCATGTCCTTCTTCATTTCGAAATTGAACTTCTCCGCTGGAAAGGAGGTGAAGTAGTTGGCGACTCAACATGACCTTCGTCAGGGCGTCCGCCAGCATTGATTGGGTCGGCACCAGAATCACCCAGCGCAATCTCCCGCACAGTCGTGCTTCTCGATGTGCCAGTATGTAGACACGTTGTGAGCGGTCTTGAGGAAGTGCTGTTGCACCTGTTGTGAGCGACCAGAAGTCCTTGCAGTCTGTCATACAGTCCACTGGAAGGTATGGCACGCCCTTCTCCTGAAGTGCAGCCAGCTGCTGCAAAGTTGGCTTCGTAGTTGGGTGTAGAATTTCAGCCAAGCGTAGGCTGACCAAAGAAGCTGATTCAAGGCCTGAGATGGCCGCCAGTGTTTCGGAGTGAGAGGTTGAGTAACTCACACTTTTACACTTTCCACCATGTGCAAACAAGATGTGGGCTCGTCCACCAAACTTTTCTTCGTTGATGTTCAGGCCATTGATCGTGTGGATCTTTGGGTCGAAGTTGAGAGTGTCCTCCATCAATAGGATCATCACTCCTTCTTGTGAGTATGCCTTGCCCTTTTGAGCTGATGCTGCATCATGAACTGCGACCAGTCGCCAGGCAACATCTTTGGGAATGCACTTGTAGGTGATGCCAATGCCATTGTACTGGGCCAGTTTCGCCTTGCGAACGATGCTGTTGGCCATGTGTAGATCTTGTACTGTCGCCTTTGTCACACGCGACTGCAAGACTCCAACATCTGCCACAAGATCCAATCTTGTCGCTGTGATCCACAACAGGCCTCCAAGTATTCTGCGCAGCAGCGTTGTTTCAGAAGGCTCCTGTCCATGAACTCCTGCTGGTCCATGGCATATCCATCGCCAGTTCGGCTGTATCGGCATCCACAATGTGCAAAGGGCAGTTTCTGGATGGAAATCTTTCCAAATCGCCCGCAAAGAAACTTGTACTGGTTCTCCAGGAAGTCATCTGTTCCAGTCACTGCCAGGTCATCGACATGTGTCGTCATCAAGGCAGTAAGTCCAGTTGGGTTTTTCCAAAGCCACAGATTCTCATCCAAAGATGACTGTGATCTTCCTGAAGTTTCCAGAGCATCGTGCAAACAAAGTTGCCAAGCCAATGGGGCGTCCACAAGTCCATAAGGCATTCCAATCCCCACATGCCCTGCTCATCGTCAGTGATGTGGAAAAATTCATCGAAGCTTCCAAGGTGTCTCCAAACATTTGGAGGAGGTATGATCACCACTCTTCTGTTTGGCGTGGCCACTCCTTTGCGTCGAAGAACTTCTCGAACTTTCGCAAATGAAAATCCTTTGAGGAAGGCTCCTGACACATCCCAGGATCTGATGTCGAAGCGATGGCAGGCAGCCATACTCAGCACCAAGCGTTGAGACAATCTCGTAGCCGTAGTGCTCCTCGTTGGAAGTTCTCGCTTTTGAGGATCCAAGAGTCCTCTGGCACAAAGGCGGCTCTTTGCCTTGAGAGACTTGTCGGCCGTGCGCTTGTACTTGCGCACCCAAACTGCATCCACAAGCGCAACTTCTTCAGGAAGTTCGCTGATCTTCACCTTCTTGAACACTTTCTCATCGATGAACTGCTTGATCTCCAGGCGGTCACTTTCTTCAAAGTGAGGCCAGTGCTCCAAGACTTGTTGTTCATCCAGGACGTCTGTGTCTTCGTCCACTCTGTAGATCTCGCCCGTGGTCAGTTAGATGTTCAAGTGTGCCTCAGTTCGGCAGTGAAGATGTAGTAGGAGTCGAGGTGGTGCAGTCGTCTGTGGTTGGCCAAGTTGTGATCTCCTCATCCATCTCAGTTCATCTTCATACCAAATTTCGTGTAGAGGAAGTTGTATCCGTCTGGATCGTTGCATCATCCACCAGATAGATTTCATGAAGAGGTTGTGCAGCTACATTCTCTGTCGTTTCTTTTCTGGGGCCACTACCACTGTCCTGCTTTCAGGATCCTTTCTTTTATTGTTGCCTTCCTCTTTGATGGACTCGTTCATGGGTGAAGAAGTTGACATAGGGTCGTCTTCCATCTGGTCCATCGTTGTAGGTCTGGAACGTCGAGAGATCTGAATGGGCCATTTGGCTTCTTCCCCGTGGATCTCCACGTAACCATACATGTAGAGGTGGCACAGCTTGTCAATGTCCTTGTTGTAGAGCTCCTTGACATGGATGTGAGCATCTGAGTTGTGCTCCACCACTGCAATTCCAGTGAGCCCTTCAGACCAGGTAACCAATGTTCCTTTGGAGAACTTTGGGACCATGATGAGCTTCATTCCTCGTCCATATCGGATCCCGTGGAAGGTCACATGGTTGTAGTGGTAGCCCAGAAAGGTTCTTGCGTCCTTCATCATCTGCTCGACAGTTGAGCTCTCCTCTTAGGAAATTTCGTCATCAAGGTTTCGTTCTTCTCCTTCTTCAAGATCTCTCCCATGGTGTAGGGTCTGTATGGCGTGCATTGTTCCACCAGTTTCTTCATCCTTGCAAGAGCTTGCTCAGCGTCAAGAGAGGTTGAAGTGGAGGTAGTGCTGAGAAGTTGGAGGTAGCTTTCTCGTAGAGGTCGAAGGTGTCGAAGGCCAATGAGGTAGGGTCTACCTTGAAATTCCACGATGGCTGTTCCATGGTCGTTGATCTTGAGCACCGTGGCTGGTCCTCTCCATCCATAGCCTCCACCATCGTCACGAAAGATCTCCACCTTCGATGTCCCAGCCACCAAACTTCCCAAGCTCCAGTTGTTGAGGTCTCGACCTGTTTGCACGAGCTATTCGGCTCTCCAGTATTGCTGCTTGTACGGCTTGAAGAGCAACTTGTCGTAAACGTAGAGCTCGTTCAAAAGCTGATTCATCAGGTTCAACTCCGTCGGATGGCGATGCTTCTTCAGGGTCAAGAAAGCCTCTGGGCAAAATGCCAAACAGCATTGTCACAGGAGAGTAGCCACCAATGCAGTGCGTTGTGTTGGCAGCCATGCTGGCTTCGCTGGCAAGTTCTTCACCTTCTATCTCAAGTTCCCAGCGGCCAGCTTCAGCTTGAAGTTTCGCCATCGTCAGCTTGATCAGGTCGATGTGCTTCTCCACCAATCCCGTGGTCGTATGTTTCTGACCTTGTACTCCAGAAGTCGTGCCTCCAGGTCGCCGTCCAATTCCAAGGCGTTGTAGTTCAACTCCAGCATGGATCGTCATGAGTGAAGTTTCTTGGTCCGAGACAAGTGTCCTCATTGGACCAAAGTATCTGATCCAGCTTTTCATTATGGCGGCCAGGATGTGACGAAGTTGGGTCGCGATCTTGTATCTCGTGGCCTCGTCACTGATGATGATGAACTGCTGGTCGCCATAGTTGAACAAATCCACCTGCACGACCTCATTGAAATGGAGAGCAAGATCTGTTCCACGGTGTTGTGGTCTTCTTCCAGCTCTTGCAAACTTCCTGCAAATCCTGCATGAAGAGATTGCATCACTTGCAAGCTTCCAGACATCATAGGGCATTCCGCATCTCACCAGGATGTTCTTGATGTCTTGATAGGGCGCATGCCACAGCCGTTCATGAAGTCCAAGAATCAGTCGCTTTGCTGTGACATCGTCTTTTCCTGCAAGTTTGGGCAATCGAGTGAAGACTCTTCTGAAGTCGAAGATAGGCTTGAGAGAGCCAGGATTCTGAGCTGGTTGATCAGCTTCTTCAACTTCCATTGCAGGTGGTTGTAGAACTTCAAGTTCGTTGCCAATGGAAGGGTCATAGCCTTGAGACTCCACATCATCGTCTCGTGGCTGTTTGGATCTTGAAGAGGTAGAGGATGTTGTAGGTTGTTCTTCAGCATCTTTTCCGAAAATGGCCGCCATCCAGTCTTCTTCCAAGTTGACTGAAGGGTTCCATTGGCTCAAACTGAGTTCTCGTAGATCTTCAATTTGATCCATCTTCCAACTCTCCACAGTGCCTCGTAGTAGCAGTCGTAGTGGTGCTTCTTCCACCGTCATCTGTGGATTGGGAGTTGGTGTAGACCAAGGTTGAAGGCAGGCCATGGCTCCTTCCACAATCATGTACTCCTTGAGGATGTTCTTGAGCCAGCTGAGAGCTGTTGGGTCTTGGAGCCAATGCACGTAGTTGTGGTCGTGCTTGCGCTTGTCGTAGCCTTCGAACTCATCCACGCTTTCTGAAAGAAGTTTGATGAGAGCCATCTTCAGCACAGCTGTTTGCTCGCTGTTGAAGGAGAAGCTAGGGTGTGCAGAGAGACGTCCTTGCATCACCTTGGGGTTCTTCAGCGATTCACGTCTGAAGGTCTCGAAGATGTCGTCCTTCTCCTGTTGCTCCTTCTCAAGTCTTTTTTTCTCACGTGGATCTTGTCCTTCTGGCCATTTTCATCCATTTTCCATATCTACACTCTCCAGGCAAGAATGAGTGTTCCATTGAGGATGTTGCCGCTCTTCCCATGGCACATCATTCACATTTGTAGAAGTTCTCGTAGTAGTGGAGGTGATTGATGTACCACTTGATGTCCTTCACCAGGGATCTGCACAGGCTTTCAGGGTACACCGCTGCAAGGGTTGTTCTGTTCATACCTTGCACAGCTCCTTGAAGCCATCCATGACGTCGTCCTTGATGTCCAGCACAACGGGCAATGCAATGACGTAGATGGAAGTCGGAGTAGAGTCCTGTCGGCTTCAGGATTGGATTCCCTATCTCATCCTGTGCTTTGAAGCGGCATTGATCGGTGCGTTGAACTTCTCCAGGTAGGTCTTGAAGGTGTTCCCAGAGTGCAGAACTCCAAGGTTGCTCCAGGATGTTCCCCTTCTTGTCTTTGCACCTTTTCTTGAACTTGCCTTTGATGTAGTTGATGGTTGGTAGTTCAGCTTCTCGCTCTTGTTGTGTCTGCGCCAGATCTCTTCTTGTGGATGAAATTGACCATGGTCGGCATGAAGGGGTTGCCATCAGAACATCGGGGCCGCCACAGGTGTCCTGCTCAATCTCCAAGATGATGAGTTGATGTTCTGGATGAGATAGATCCCAGCCGTACCTGTAGTCAATGGGAAAGAGAACGCAAAGTCCAGAAAGAAGCGCCATGAGGCTCAGTCTTCCAGAGCCGCTGCACCATTCCCAGAAGTGGAACTTGCTGCCTTTGCGTTTCTTCATCCAAGATCTGGCATTGCGAGGTGTCACAGGGGTCTTCTTCGTCTTGGAGTAAAGCTCCTCGGGCACTGCCTTGTACATCTTCTGCAAGTAACGTAGTTTGCCTTCTGGCAAGTGCCCTGGGAAGGTATCTCCTACGTATTCGCAGACAGCATCGTCGTATTCCATGTTGAAGTCGTTTCCCATCAGGACCTGGGTCGGTGGTTCATCATCAGCCACCTGTTGATGTCACGTTCGAAGTCCATCGTTGGAAACATCAACAGCAGGCTTCTCATGGTTGTCGCACTGAATGAGGTCTTTGGAGTCGTTCTGAATCAGGTCTGCATCAGACTTGAACTGCAACTTCTCGGCATCCTTGTCATGGTTGTTACCGGTGTGCTTGTGTTCGGTCTGAACGTCAGTCTGCTCCAGTGTCGTCGCTTGGTAGGGCTGATGTTGATGTTGTCCAGTCCATAGTCGCCTGATCTGCTCCTTCTCATTGTCGGTGATGGTTGCAATGGCCAAGTCCTTCTGAACGGGCAACACGTAGTGGCCAGATTCAGTGAGCAGCAGGCGCAGGATCACCAGATTGGCTCCAGGTTGGTCAGGACGGAGTTTGTTCGTAGAGCACACAAGTATGCCATCTCCGTTGTCATACCATTGGGTAAGCACTGCCGATCTCATCTGCCTCAGGCTGGTGTTTGGTAGAAGTGCAGGGCAAGTGCTTCCATGTCCTCCGATCAAGTCGGCGGAGTAGTTGCCCGGAACTCCATGTTCATCTCCATCAGGCATGACAAACGGCAGGCTGACTCTGGCAAGGGTGTCATCACTTTGACCACTGATGCCGGTGACCTTGGTGGTGCTTGGTCCCCATATCACTTCGCTGGCTCTGTCGTGAGGAACCATGCCAGCATCCAGAAGTTCTCGAAGGGTATCTGTGCCAATGAGTCCACTGGCAGCACCAGGATCCACCAGCAAACCGCAAATGCGGTCTCCTCTCACCATGTGGTAGTTGTCGGCATTGGAAGTCTCCACCTCGGGGAAGTTCAGGCGCTTGGAGGTTTTCTCGGCAGGCTTCTCATCTTCCTGATCACCAGGTGGATGTTCCTCAAATCTCACTTTCTTTCCCGTGAGCAGCTCTTCCTTCTCAGGTGAGTCCATGGCCACCAGTGTTTTTGTTGTAGAGGTCGATGAACTGCTCTTTTGAGGGATCTCGTCCTTGAAGTTCATGAGATAGGATCCACCGTAGTAGTCAGTGAAGTTTTGTGGAAGCTCTTCACTCCAAAATCCTCCTTTCTTGCCGAAGCCCTTCTTCATGGGATACTTGCCCTTCTTGCCGTATCCTTTTGACTTCCCAAAGCCTTTGCGGTATGGAGACTTTCCGAAGCCTTTGTTGTAGCCCTTGCCCTTAATCTTGTTGTAGCCTTTGTTGGAACCTTTGCCCTTCGGCTCGCTCAGAGGGCAGCTGTGAGTGTTGTGCCATTTTGAACCACAGAGTGAACAGCCCAGTCCCATCGTTGTGGATCGGGACTTTCCTTTTCCCTTGTAGTAGGTCTCGTCATTTGTGTTGTTGTGGGCTGCATCGGAAGGTTCTTCTTCAGCTTGTTCAGTAGGCTCCTCATCGTAGCCGGCATCGTAGTTCCATTGTTCAGGCCATTCCTCCTCATAGTGCTCGTAGTGCTCGTTGGGGTCCTCGTACCAAGAGTAGAGCTCGTCCTGGTTGTAGTATGCATTCCAGTCATCATGCCATGAGCTTTCCGTCACAGTGCTCCAGCTGTTGGTGTCCAGGTCGTCCAGGTAGTAGGCATTGTTGACCTCCTCATACATCGCGCTCTGGTTGGTGTCCATGCTGCGAAGTGCCATGCGAAGAAGTAGCGTGCGCACCTCTTCGAAGCGGCGCATGTCACCGTGCACCTGCAGCAGCAAGTCGTCCACTGTCTTTTGAGGCAGTCCAGAGGATTTGAAGTAGAGGTAGGTCTTCGCCACTGGATTCACTTCCAAACCAGCATGTACTTACTTGTATTTAGCTGTATTTTTGTATTTTTTTTTTGGCCTTCAACGAGAAAACACAAAAAAAAGGAGGGATAAACGAGGAAAAAAAATATCTTTTTCTTTCTGATATCTTTAAAAAACTCACAGAACTCCTATTCAAGAAAAGTAGCTTCTTGGTGAGCAACATTGAGAGGAATGTTAAAGGCCAAGATAAAGCCAAGCTTGCAACTTAGTCACGACAAATTCTGACAGTGTCTGCAACACCAACTTCCATAAAATATCTCAAGAGCCCTGGCAACGCTTTTTTTCTCCCTGGCACACGAGTTTTGCAAATATCTTCTACATTTAATTAAGCTGAATTAAGATCCGAACAAATCTCTTGTGGCCGAACCAGCCACCAGCCGACAGATCCGAAACAGACCTTGGCCGAAACAGCCATATCAAGCCGACTTCAGCTTGTCTTCTCTTTGGATGAGCCATCTTTCGCCCATTCGACGAATGAGTGCCTTCTTGACATACATCATGAGAGGCTCAGCAGATTCCCATTTGCTGCTTTTCAAAGTGCAGTACTTCTGGAATAATTTTTCGATCGGCAACGTTCTAGCCATTCTTGTTTGGATCAAGCGCAAATCCCTTTCAGCCTGCTTGACTTCACATCTCTGTTTGCGAATTGGATCCTTGGGCACCAGAAACTGCACAGGAGGCTGATTCGTCATGCGCTTGAGCTGAAAGGGCTGCAGGGGGGACATGTTGCCTCAATTGTCATTTATATAGTTTTTCATAGTTTCTTGTCAAGTAGAACTCAAGTACCAAAATGAAGATTTAATTGTGTTAATTTGCAGGGGGTCTATACACTTGCAGCGGCGCGACTTTTGCACTCTTCCAGTGCATGGTCAAAACTGTCACGCCCAACTCAGCAGCAAAAACAGACTATGGGTGCCGAAGCAGCACCTAGCTAGCCGAACCAGCTACTCGTCGTTGAAGGGGTCCCACACATCTTCTTCTTCGTCCTCTTCCTCACCGCCTTGATTCTCGTCGCCGTCATTGTTTTTGTCATCGTCGTCGTCTGCCGGCTCTTTGTCTTTCTCTGCGGCTCGGCTACCCCGCTTTCTTGTCGACTTAGCTTTCGGCTTGGCTTTGGCCTTCTTTTTTGGCACGGGCTTCGGATTTTTCTTTTTCAACTCTTCTTCACCAGGCAAGGCCGAAGCAGTCCTGCAACCGACAGCTTCGCAGTAGGCAGCTGAGAAAAGAGAGCTTCCGCTGTTTCTCATTTCCATCTCCAGGACTTCCAGCAGGCGTTCTTCCAGCAGACTTTGGTGTTCAGGATTGTAGCACACACCGACATACCTCAAGACATACCCCACACGACTTTTTATGGCCGAAACAGCCATTTTGCCGTCTGATGGTGTAAGATCCAAAATGAGCTTGACGTAAAAGTCATGAATCAGCTCTGCGTAAAATTCTTCTGGCGGACTGTGAAAACAGACTGGTTCCTTTCCATTGTTTCTTCGGTCAGCATACGGAGTTTGGTCATCGGCGCCTTCGGTTTTTGAACCCACTGCAATGAGGTGCTTCTTGCCGTAAAGATCCTTTTTCATTTTCCACGGCAATTGCCATTCTTCGTTCCACCCTGGTAGGTGCACGTTGCAAATCAAGTCTCCATTTGTCGACCCTGCGTAATGAAGTCTTTCTTTGACTGGCAGTGAAAGTTTCTTTGTGCTGAGGACATGGCACCATTCGATCTGCTTCAAGTTGAAATTTCCTCGCAACCTCTTCTTGCGGGCGGCCAAAGAACTTTCAGAGTAGGCGATCTGCAACAAGTCGGCGAAAAAGGTTGGTTTGCCATCGTCTTCTTCCATGTCTGCTTCTGCACCGTCTTCTTCAGCGTCATCGTCAGCATTCTTGGAAGCAGTTCCTTCTCGCCATGGATGCAGCAACTTGTTCTTCAGGCCGCGTTTGCCACCATCTAAAATCAATGCAACTTCTCCAGCCTGAAGATTTGAGTTTTGCAATCCTTGCGCGGCGCTGCGTGCTGCCAGGATCGATTTGACCAGGCGGCCGTACAATGCTTCACGGAATGTCGGCACACGAACGTCTGGACGAGTTGTCGGCTCGCCGTACTTCTTCAGATCGAAATGGTAAAGGCACAAACCTGTTTGATCTCCCCGGAGGGAAATGAAAGGTGTGTCTTTGAGAGCTTCTTCAAGTTCAGCGCTGGATTTGTGGTCACAAACAAATCGGACATGCTGCTGCAAAACTTTGCGCACCTGTTGCCGCCACAATGTTTGATCCTCTGTTGAAAGGCGGTCGAAAGGCTTGGCTGGAGCAGATTCAGCCGGAGCAGCGTCAGAAGCCGAAGCAGCTTCAGAGGCCGCAGCAGCCGGTGCAGTAGCCGGAGCAGCTGGCGCCGTCTCCTCCACAGTGACAGGCTCTGCAGACTTTTCCGGTTTCAGTTCTGATCGCACAGCTGCTTCCAATTCTTGCAAGACTGACTTCACCGTCGGATATTCCAACAAATCAGCTACGTCATGTTTCATTTTGATTCCATCTTTGTAGCGGCCGTCGAACTCGTTTCCATAAATGATCTGGTCAAAGAATTCTGCGATCCGAAGCACGCCGACCGGAGCAGCCAGCATCCATGCAGTGTCCACCGGATCTCCTGGAAATGGCGCAAAAAAATTGCGACATGCATCGAAGGAGGTGAAGCTGTTTGACAGTTTCTTCTTCCATTCGTCATTGATGGGCAGCGAGTTGAGCCAGTCACCGAGGAGGTAGTCACGAACTTTTCTTTTCAATTTCAAAACTTCCACATAGCTTGCCCTGCTATCCTTCAGCTTGGCGATCACAAAAACCCCTGGGTCTAAGTGACCCATGCGCCAGCCGTCCACCAACCCCTGGAGGCACCACGAAATCATTTCAGGTGTGTTTGCTCGGTCCACCAGAGCTTGCAGTGCATATATCGATTTCCATGGGCTCTTGTCCAACAGCTGTGCATCGCATTGCTCGAGCACTTTGCAGCATGCATCTTGGCTCAATACACGGTTGTATATAGTCAGCGCGCTGTCCACAAATGACTCTGACATTTTTTCCTGATTGCTTGCTAGCTTCACTTGGGCACAGTAGAGGGCTGCGAGTTTTTTACTACCGACAATACCATCCGTGGTTTTTTTGGCTTCAGCAAACCCAGCAATGTCGTAGATGCGCTGTCTCAAGCTCATTTGCACCGCCAAACCTTTTTCAACCTGCTCCTCTCGAATATTTAGACTCCTAAAGTATCGAGCTTCACCCACAGGCACAACTTCATAGACGAAAGTGCATGTCAAGAAGCAAGATTTAAAGGCTTGCAGCACATTGGCGCCCTGTTTCGACTTGATTGCTTCAGCTGCCGCAAACAGCAGCGCATGCACGGGCTCGGCCGGACTCAGCCGTGGCCACCCCGATTGCGGAGGATCGCCAGAGCACTTATGGGAATCCACTGCAACTGTGACAACAAAGGGACACAGCTTGGGAGGCTCGTCATCCTTGGGAAACCAATAGTTTTGAATCTGTTTCACTTGGCCCAAATTGATAGGGATCTTATGGGTCGCAAGCCACAAGAAGTCCTGAGAAAAGAAGTTGGCAGCGCACCGGTAACTTTGTGCAGTTTTCAAGGCCGAAGCAGCCATATTACCGTCCCAAAGTGCTTCGCGTCCTCCTTCCTTTGGTGACAGCGGTGGCTGGCCAGCAATGTTGCTGAACATGTCATGTGCTTGGATGCAGCTGATTGCTTCATGAACTTTGACCAAATATTCTTGGCAGATGGCTTCGGGTAAGGCATCGACAGCCGCAACAGCCACATGTGCCGTTTTTTGTTTTTTCTTTGGCGCCATCTGTTGAACCAGGACTTGTCAAAATCTACCGTCGACCACACTGAGAGCCGAAAATGTGGACCATGCACGTGTTTTCAACATGTCAACAGGTCAAACATGTTTAAGTTTGAATTTTTAAGGGGTCTGGTAAATCATCCCTTGACACTTGCAAATTAAGTGTCAAAACTGATTCCCCAAAAACCTTCCAGTGGCCGGCCTGCTTTTTACGCCTTGCAATACAAAAATCACGGCTGAGTCTTCCTAACTCAGCCGAAGCAGCTGACATGGCCGAAACAGCCACATGCGCCTGTACAGCTGCCCGAATCAGCAGCCATGTTGCGCGCAAGACGGATCCTGGCAGCATTGCCTGCACAGGATATGCACGCACCGGCTTCCTGGCTGATTGCGCCCACATTGCTTGCACATCGCGATTGTGACTGTCGGAGGGGGCTTGGTGCGACCTTCCCGCTGTGCTTGCTCATGTGTCTGAGCCCGTGCCAGCTTTTTTTGGCTCCACCCGCTTGTCGGTCGATGCCTGTTTGATGCGGCCGGAGCAGCCGCTGACGACGACCGGGCCGAAGCAGCCCCTGAGCCAACGCCGAGGCGATCGATGTGGGTCATTACGTCGTTCATGAATTTTTGGAGATCAGCATGGCTCACAGCCCTGTCTTCATTGGGTCGCAGGTCTGCATTGCACTTGTAGGGCCGGAGATCCACACTCTTTCGGCTACCCCTTCTGCTGGGCTCGTCCTCGTCGTCTTGTCCGCGGTGACGACGACGACGACGCCGGCTTCGGCGCGTCTCCTGGTCGTCATCGTTTTCGTCGTCATCGTCGTGCTTCCGCGGCGTAGCCTGCTTTGCTTCCTGTTGTCGGTCCTGTTCTTCCTGCTTTACAGATGGCCCCAGTGTAAGTCGTGGCTTATTTCGGGGCGGTGCCGCTGAACCAGACGATTCCCTGACCCTTTTTTCATCATGTCTGGCAGGAGCAGTTGGTCCGCCGTCGTCGTCGTCTTCTTCCGATGACGACGACGACGACAAGTCGTCGTCAGAAGACGTCTTTTC